AGGGATATCGGCAGGTAATTGAAGTCAAGACAAATGACCGCGACATCGAAAGGGTGATTACGAGAACTGCAATACTATCGGACCAGACATACTGTCTGAATTCGATCCCCGAGTACCTAAGTTGAGCTGAGCGACTGAGCTACAGTTCCTTGTAACTGGTCATAAAAGTCAGGCCCGTTTCATATATGTTTTTTATTTGTCAGTAATAGAGAAGTAAGCAATCGATAAAATACTTATTATTTTAGTGGACGTAATAAAAGGCAGTAAAAGAGTCAATAGTGGGAACTAAACAATAGATTGAGAAATAAAACAGCAAAATGTGAGACACAATTGCAGAGGTTTTTATTTGTAATGTATATATAATAAAAGTGAGACAATAAAACTGCGAATTGCTTTCACTCAGTTTACTGCTGTATATATTTATATTGTATCTTGACTTATGTTGAGCACCGGTATGTGATTGGCATTATTCACCAAATTTACTTTATGCTAAAAGTTGAGAGAAAAAAGTTATACTCTATATAGTGTTTATTCATTTATCACATGTTAAGTAGTTAGAGTGTGTGTGTGTGTGTGTGTGTGTGTGTGTGTGTGTGTGTGTGTGTGTGTGTGTGTGTGTGTGTGTGTATATGTATGTGTATGTATGTGTATTAAAATGATACCAAATAAAACAAGAATATTCTTGAATTAGTTATACTGTATACAGAATATGTGTATAGAATATTTACAGCTCATAGTCTATATAATAATTATTTTATTGTTGTTATACTGTATTTGCTATTTATTTTATTTTTTTTCTTGGTGTGAACCCAATCGTCTATCACATAATCAACATTACATTATTTGAATTAATACTTGATTTATTACTTTTTTTATATTTATTACCTGTTTTATTATTAAATACACAATTCAACAATAATATAATAATATAAATAATATAATATGAATGAATGTTTGCATTTTGCGATACTATTTATTCATATATTTTTTGACAACACATTCGCTTTTATCGATAGTTTAATATAATTAATGACATTTTTCTAGGAAACAGTAATAGTTATTCTCAATATATATTAAAGTAATCATTTAATATAATTGTATTTTAACTTAATGATAAATGAAACATTTTTTTGGCATCAATAATTTAGATTAATATAATAACTTATTATATTTTCAATTATTATATAAATATGTAATTACCTAATAGTTATGTCCGATGTGTTCAATTGAATTGATTAAAAATTAATTTTACAAATTACTACTCTTTATTGCATTTTTTCCACAAAACTTAGAAAAAAATAGTATTAAATACTACTGTATAACAAAAAATATAAAATCATTGTTATACTTAATAGATTAAATTTACTATTATTTAAAAAAAACACATAAAATAAATTTTTATAAAATTATTATTATTATAATTAAGTAAAAAAATATTTTAATTTATACTCAAGACTAATTGTGGCCTATGACCTATGACCTACCGCATGTGTTATACAATACTATACAATATTATAGTCTAAAATTGTGTATTAATATCTGTAAATTTTATCTTTTTAAATCTAAAAACAATGTTTTATCATTTTTATAAATTAAATAATATAATATTGTGATACTTCACGTGAATTAGGTTAATAGTTAAACTGTGAGAGAGTTTTTTATTATATCGGCCGATGTCGGCTACTAATGTTATCACATTTACTCAGTTTAATTTATTTGATTATTATGTATAACGTGATGTTATATGATTTCAAGGTTCCATAATGTATTGCAGTTATAGGTTTGTTTTGATAATTATTTATTTAGTACATAAGGTGTACACATAGTTATTGGGGTTTAATAATGTAGTTGTTGGTTTTGGTTTTATATCCAATGTTTATAAGTTTAGTTTAGTTAGTAAAAATATAGTTATTTAATTGGAAACAGAGTGTTTACGCTGAACGACGTCATAGAATATGATTTTTTCAGAGTGAAGAGAGTTAGTCGTTGACTAGCTCTCAGAGAGTTCTCGTCGAGTCGTCAAAGTGAATAGACGTAAAGTTTTATATTTTAATTGTATTTTTATTTTAAAACATAGTAATAAAGTGATTTAACAAAACAAGAGAGTAAGTGTTTCGAGGGGCTCGGGCCTTCGGCCCTGAGTCCCTCAAGAAAGTCTATGCTTGCGAAGTAATTTAAAGGTTAATTAAGTAAGTATAATTGACTGAGTTAATAATGTAAGTATTGTTAAAAGTGTTATACATAAATTTATCATCAAACGGAAACGGGATAGGATTTCATCAACTACTCAACAGACATTACCACGGATTCAACTATATCATTTAAGAGTAAGTGTTTTATTACACAAGGAAAACAGTTTAATGTATGCCGATCTGCGGGAGCGTGGATTCAGCATGTAACGTGTCGATCTATGGGAGCATAGATCAGACATACTGGGTGTGCCGATCTACGGGAGTGCAGATCAGCCATAGATCACGATGAAAACATCGGGTCATGGTGTAATATCAGACTATAATAGTCTGATATGGTTATATAAGGGTTAGTCTCTCGGTGGAAACACCGATCGAGACTTAAGGTTTAATAGGTAACAGTAATGTTACCTAAGGGTTAGTCTCTCGGTGGAAACACCGATCGAGACTTAAGGTTTAATAGATAACAGTAATGTTACCTAAGGGTTAGTCTCTTGGTGGAAACACCGATCGAGACTTAAGGTTTAATAGGTAACAGTAATGTTGCCTAAGGGTTAGTCTCTCGGTGGAAACACCGATCGAGACTTAAGGTTTAATAGATAACAGTAATGTTGCCTAAGGGTTAGTCTCTCGGTGGAAACACCGATCGAGACATAGATTTAGTAGGTAACAGTAATGTTACCTTAAGGTTTATCTCTCGGTGGAAACACCGATCGAGACATAGATTTAGTAGGTAACAGTAATGTTACCTTAAGGTTTGTCTCTCGGTGGAAACACCGATCGAGACATAGATTTAGTAGGTAACAGTAATGTTACCTTAAGGTTTGTCTCTCGGTGGAAACACCGATCGAGACATAGTTTCAGACTGAAATAGTCAGTCTTAGGTATATTAGATAACATAAATGTTATCTAAAGGTTTGTCTCTCGGTGGAAACACCGATCGAGACATAGTTTCAGACTGAAATTGTCAGTCTTAGGTATATTAGATAACATAAATGTTATCTAAAGGTTTGTCTCTCGGTGGAAACACCGATCGAGACATAGTTTCAGACTGAAATAGTCAGTCTTAGGTTTAGTTGATAACAGTAATGTTATCTAAAGGTTTGTCTCTCGGTGGAAACATCGATCGAGACATAGTTTCAGACTGAAATAGTCAGTCTTAGGTTTAGTTGATAACAGTAATGTTATCTAAAGGTTTGTCTCTCGGTGGAAACATCGATCGAGACATAGTTTCAGACTGAAATAGTCAGTCTTAGGTTTATTAGATAACAGTAATGTTATCTAAAGGTTTGTCTCTCGGTGGAAACATCGATCGAGACATAGTTTCAGACTGAAATAGTCAGTCTTAGGTTTAGTTGATAACAGTAATGTTATCTAAAGGTTTGTCTCTCGGTGGAAACATCGATCGAGACATATTTGCAGACTGTAATAGTCTAATATGGGTTTAATATGTGACGGAAAGGTTACATAAATGTTTGTAGATCAATAAAAACTTTGATCAAAATAGTAGATCCGACTGAAGAGTTGGATATAGGTTAAGTATGATAAAGTTAGAGTAAGTAATCGGTATGTATTATAAGTGTATATCGTGAGTATAGATAGTAAACAAGGAACAACAAACAACGAATCAGCGGAAGGAACGGCAGGATCGGGACGTCTTGGCAGAAACAAAGGTAAGTGAGGTTTACTTACTAGTGTTTATTTTAGTGCAAATAAAGCGCTTATAAATTAAAATTATAAATATCGTTGTGGGAACGTTGCGATTGCTGTCGTTGAGGGTGTCATCACCTTGGAAGTGATGATCCGTAAAGCTTTCGTGTCAACTTTACCGCTGGAGAAGGTGATAGTAAGCGCGGCTTTGACAGAGTAATATCTCTGAACATATCTTAGTAAATCACCGCACGGAAATTGCTACAATATTATGAATATTGTATTAACTAATTTGTATAATTTTTTTTCTATTTAAATTAATTCTATTAAATATAATATTGTTTAAAAACTTATTAGAAATTTATTATACTTTTGTATATTATTAAATAAATGAATTAAAAAAAATGAAATTAAAAATAGTACAATCAATTGTTGGCAAATTGCTATAATATTTCACATTCAATATCTTTATGTTATTTGTGTTCAATTTGTTATATTTATTAAAAAATAATAGTTTTAATCGCTTAACAATTGGTTGATTAGATTTAATTGTATTTAAATTCATTTTAAAAACTTTTAATTAGTTTTATTTTTAACACATAATATATGTACAAAAGTTTAGTACACTATTTATAGTATTATCACAACTGTATTTGATTATTTGGTACTTTTACTGACTATTATAATCCATTTATTATCACATTTTATCACAAAAATAAATAGTACTTAAATAAAACAGTGTTTTAGACGCATGAGTACAACATTTATAAGTGTAATGCTATAGAGACGTGGTTTATAATGCATTGTAATTATTATAAACATTAAATATTTTGTATGTATATATCCATTTGAATCTATGCATAATACACGGCTTATGATCTACCGAAAACTCGTATACTCTGTATATTACATATGTTTTTTGTGTAACTATAAATTTATCTCTATTAAATAATTATATAATTACATAAATGATGTCGCATTTTTTTAGACAACTCATGACAATATGGTATCTTTTATAATTACCAAATGTAGCACAAAAAACATAAGTAACATAAATAAAAAAGTACCGAGTTTGTTCTGAAAATGTTTAGTGTATATGTATTATTATTGTGCATATCTTATTGGTTTGTTTTATGTTTTTCGGTTTTACAGTTTAGACGAAAAAATATTCGTATAAAAGTCGTATAAAGTTTTTAAATAAATCACAACTTAATGTACGGTATTGTCAAACGATTTAAATTTTATTTGTAATAAAATGTAATTTAATTATTAATAATTTTTATATTATATTATTTATTATATATTTTAGTCTATTTATTGTTTGTTAAAACTTTTATTTTTTTTAAACTAACTAATTATAACTTTATTTATATAAATATTTTTATTATATAATTTTTTAAAATATTATTAAAAAGATAAACTAGTTAAACTAACAATATTTATTTATTAATTAATTAATTAATATTTAGTAATACAATATTACTTTGTAATATTAAATTATCCAGGTTTTAAATAATTATTTGTAGTCAATTTAATTATTATTATTATTTTTTTTAATAAAAATACTATAATCAGAAAATATGATGAATACTTGTAGCTATTTTATTATTGTATGATATAATATATAATATATATATATTGTTTAGAGATTGAAACTGATCTACCAGTGCTCAGGAATGGATAAACAGTTTGATAGGAGTGGCAGTTATTACCGAAAGTACTTGGAATCAGACATATTTGACAAATCATTTGTTTTGATTGAAAAGTACAGCAAAAACACTGGTCTGTCTTCACGATACCGATGGGAACGGTCGACAGCAAAACAGGAGAATAGATTAATCAATTGGCATAATGTACTGATCGGTCAATTAAGCACTGGTGGTATGGGTTATGTGGCAGCCATTAGAAAGACTGGAGAATTGCTGAAACAGGCGATGAAGTCGAGCAATAGATTGGATGAAAATGATTTCAATGATGTATACAATTCTGTTGAACAACTTATTCAACTGAGAAACCGGGAGTCAAAACCAAATTTATCGATATTAGGTTGGGTTATATGGGGTGGCCATCAATACAATAGTCACAAATGTGTGATTGACAATTGGCAACAGTTTAACCATTTGGAAACAATTAACTGGAAAATAATTATATTTTCAATTATAATATTTTTATTTTTTATTTCTACATATAATCCTGAAAATGATAGATAGATAACAATCCAACAATAATTATTGTACAAATGTTTAATGTTTAAGTACGATATTTAATTATAAAATAATTAAAAATATTTTATTTGTTTTATTAAATTTACAACATTTAGAAATACTGTATATTTATACAAAATTCTTAATTTTATAAATAAACTATTATGTAATTAAAAAAATCAATAATCTGTGGGCAATTATTAAAACATATGTTATTTGAAAAAATGTATTCAAAATTATTTAAAAAGGTATATACAGTATATATTTTTTAAAAATAATAAAAATATTATTTTCATAATTAGCAAATATATTACTACAAATTAATTTTTTACTAATAAAACAATTATTCAAATATCTATCGGTTCATAACTAGAGTACGGAATATTTTTCTGAACGGGCCGTCCATTGATTACGGCTTCAGGAGGTTCTTCGGGATCGGAATCGTTAGACTTTCGGACAATTATCTCTTCAATTATATCTTCGTTATTGGTTCGCCACTTGAGTACAACCAATATAGCCGTCAATACAATTGCAGTCAATATAATAATAGTTAGAATTATACTCAACAAACAAGTATACAGAATATTGTAGTTATCATTAGTGTTACAATTGATTGGATATACAAGTGATGATAAAACTGTAACTAAGAAAAAAACAATACAATATATTGTAGACATTATGTATAATAAAATATGTTAAAAATCAAAACTATCAAAAAAGTTTTTTTTTTTTTAAAATAATGTCATGGAAATCAACACTACTGTACAATGATTGTCACGTTAAATACAAATTGATTTTGTTTAAAATATATTGTTAATAATTTTGAATTTATTGATAAGCTTTTGATATCAATTTTATATTATTGTTTTGATAAGCAAACAAAATGAATGACAATCTAAAGATATTTGCGATTTTGTTTGTCATTTATCTGACTAAATGTAAGCAATTATAGAAAACACAAAACATTAAAAAATAATTTAAATAATATATAGTTTTTTTTTAAAAAAAAATACTGTATAAACAACTAATAGTTTTATGTCTGGATTGGAATGGTATGCAAAACTATACGACCGATTATTGTGGTCTGCGATATGTTTTCTCACGAATGCATATAACATATCAACAAAAGTGTTTTAAGTCTCCATTGAATAACAAGAATCTACACATTCGTGTAAAACGTAATGAATTTGTTGGTAATTCAGTCAACAAATTAAATAATCGTATATTCAGAGGACGTAAGGTTGAGCTACAGGAATCTCCGTGGACTGTACTCATCAAATATAGCTATAAAAAATTTGTGTCCTTTTGTACCGGTGTTTTGGTGCACAAGAAATGGGTGCTTACGGCCGCCCATTGCAACTATAAGTATGAATTCAAATTATAATATGATATATGATTTAATGTTTAAATAACAAACTAATTATAGTAATAAAACCCTCAAAGACGATACAAAACTAATCTATGTATATTCACACGATAATATGCACCGGGAGTTTGGTAAAAGTGTGACCAACTATGTTAGAAAAGTATACCGACACCCCGACTATAGGAAAGGCATAACACCCAATGATATAGCACTGTATGAACTCTATACAACCATTGAGATGAGACCACAGAAGCATAGTCTTCACTATGCGGTAAATATGGTATGTTTGCCACCGTTTGGCAATGAAAACAGTTTGTATACAACTGAGAGACAGTTGGCCACAATGTTTGGTTGGGGACCGCTATTGTTATTTAAGAAGAATAAGACAAAGAAATACGAATTATTGCCAAAAGTATTACTAAAAGGACAGTTTGTTTTGGAGCCTTTCCCTAAATTCGGTTGTAATCATATGTATTGTTCGCCGAGATATGACTGGATTAACGTAACTATGGCCAGAGGGTGTCAGGTGTGTGTGTGTGTGTCTATATGTTGTGTACTTATGATATAAATATTAAAATTGTTTGTTTGTATGTAAGGGTGATTCCGGTGCCGGTTTAGTCCAGTATACAAATGATAGGAGAGATAGAGCTATACTTATAGGCATACAGTCGTCGATATATCATAGAGTAGACAACGAGTTGTGCGATGCAAGTGTTTATGCAAACTATTGGTCACCCATTGCACCGCATGTTAATTGGATATACAATACTATTATCAATAATAGCCAACCGTCCGATTTAGTTGACGAGTTGGACTATAGGCCTAAATCTAACTTTACTGATCTACACTTTACCGATGATTACAATGATAACGATGTTGTCGTATAGATAACAATATTTTTTGTGCATTTAATTCATTACAATTTTTTTTAATTATAAGCAAATCAATTTGATTAATACATATTATAAAATAGTTTGTTATCTATATTTATAGATTAATAGTTAAAACTATAAAGATGTTAAAGATAACTATTGATATATTTGTAACAATTATATATAAGGTTATTAAATATTTGAAAATAGTTTGTATTATAATAAGTAAACTAAAAATTATAAATATATAGTACGGTTAATGTAAATTGTTATATTATAAATAAAATTAATATTATATTTTGTTTAATGCATTGTGTAATCAAGTGTATCGACAATATCTTGAATAACCTTTGAATGACTTAAAGACAAGTTATAAAAGAGATTTTCGTTGATATCCCGCCAGTCAACTGCATCGCTCATATAGTCATTGATATCATTGTTGTGTTGAGAATAATGTATGTGCCATAACTCCAGTTCCTTCCATGCATTGTCCGTATTCATGGGGTCATCAAAGTATCCTCTAATCAATTTTTCGCATTTGAATGTCTGTGTCTGTTGTTGTTGCGGTTGTTTTTGTCCGTCCGATTGTTTTACATCAGGTGTCTGTTGTGGTGGTATTTGATCGAAACTCTTGAAAAATTCGATCATTTGATCACTTTTGGTCCAACCCTTTAATTCAGGTTTACTTATCTTAAATAGCGATTCAATGTCTTTATAAGTTATTTCGCCGGAAATAAATCTTTCAATAAGTGATATTTGATTTATTTTGTTAATGTTGTCCTTATTGTCGTCGTGTTTTTGATCAATCAATTCAACAATTACTTCCAATGTATCCGATTTCTTACTAATAATAGTAAATATAGTTTATATCATTTGTAATTATTGGTAAGTAATTAAAAAAAATTTTAATCAATTGTCAATTACCGAGTGATAACAACCATAACATAGTGGTTAGGACCCCATCGCGGTAGTGATCCTCGGCCTCTGAGACCAGTTCTGCCAAAAGGATTGGTTGGAATAACACTGTCTTCTAATTTATAGATAATCGCTTCGTTGTCTTTCATGTGCCACGACTGTCGGTCAACACAAATACCGGCGCCACTAATAGTTTGTCGATTCCAAACAAAAACCGGTAGATTTTGGACGCTTTGTTCAGATTTTTCAAAGTTGAGCTCTTTTAAGGCCAATATATCGATATCAGTGGTTTCCTGTAGCGCTAAAGGCATCTCTAATTTGGGTTTTGTGTACGCAATTGGGTCGTAATCCACCCAAAAGACCTGCCACGAGACATACTTATCGGGAACTGGATATCGGTGGACATCGGTTTTCGGATACGGCGACTGTCGAGACAACGAGTGGAGCTTTTGTTGCATCGCTTCGCTGGTCGATCGCTTTGTCACCAAATGTCTAATGTTTTCCAAGAAGACAAACGACTGTTGACCAGATCTCTCCATTTCAGATGTCCGTCCAATCAGTTTTCTCAGTTGTCTTCGTTGATATTCCAGTTCTTCGCTCATGGCTTTTGTCATCTCCCAGTGCTCTGAGTTTAACTTTGATTCCTGATCTTTGGTCTCCCTGTCCTCAAACACCTGTGCGGCTAATATCCTGAGGTAAGCGTAGTCTTCATTCGATAGTTTATTCAGATTATCCTGTGTTTCCTTCTGCAGACAAATGTTTTTTAATAAATAAATAAAATTTAATTACTAATTAATATCACGAATATATTTCATTACATTTTTATCGCAACAAAGACAACAAAGTCGGCGACAAATCCAAAAAATACAAGAAAATATATTCAACGGCGGCGGCAATGGAGATCTGGTCATAAAATCGATGACCAATCCGTATCGTTGGCTCATCCATATGCCACTCGTGTCGCTAATATCTTTGACAGCACTGGCAGCAAATATAGCGCCCAATAGTGTTAGCAAAATTGATTTCAATAAAATCAAATACAATATTTCAAAAAAGTATGGCCAGAAACCCGTTACACGACATTCCTCATTACTGTATCGACTGGCACTACAGCGACTGTCCGTTTGGTGACGATTGTTATCCCAAACATACTTGCTTTCACAGTCTGGATCAACTATTTTAAAAAATCAATAGTTTTTATTTCTTATCATAACTAAGATATTAATTTACCCTCGAGTTCGTTGAGGAATATGGAAAACATAGAGAAGAAGGCCCTGTGAAATGTGCGCCTATAGAGCTCATTACTAACAGTCAGATCAGGAAATATCAGTGATTGCATGACTACACCGAAACTGATCATCACTAGTACGGCCAGTCGGATAAAGTTCAAGAAGTCGACAAAAATCATTAACTTTAATCGATAGAGTAGTGGTCCCAATGTGGATGAAATGGGCAGAAATACGGTAAACAATACATAGTAGGCGTGTATTAATGCCAAAGACATAATCACTTTATGATTGTAGGCGTCATCGGTTGTCGTCTCAAACACATAGATGAGTCGAGTATTTGTAAAATATATGATAAATAATATCTGAAGTATCGCTTGAATTATTGACGACATATTGGAGAAGTAGATATTCAGCCGTGAGATGATAAAGATCTGTTGTAATCTGTCGACAACCAAACAGAAAGTCCAGACGTCTACAACCAGATCGATGTAGAAGTGGCCGCAACGGGGATACAGTACGGCTATACTGAATATTGACAAATAAAATGTATAAAAAAACTGGTGGTTCCAGAATTTGGTTATCGGTGATGTCCACAAGTAATATAATGTCGTAAAAAACGACGAATTAGTCAATTGGTAGGTCTTATCAAACATAATCGACATATGATTGTCTTTACTGTACGATTTTTTAGGTAACGGTTGTTTCTTATCGCCGCCTCCACCACCACTGCCACTTACACCATCACCACTATTGCCGCCGTCACTATCATCGGAGTCGTTATCGACGGCCATATAATCGATTGACTCTTCCGATAATTGTTGCAACAGTTCTGCGTTAATACTGCTGTCTGTACCACGAATCCAGTAATAAGCCGGCAGAACAAAGTAAGCGGAAAATAGCAGTTTACACATCAATGGTAACCGAAAAACACCGATCCGAACGTCTTTGACCGTAATGTTACCGTAAATTTGATTAGTGAGCCGTCGTTGACAGGCCGGATGGATAAAAAATGTTTTAAATTTGCCGAAAGCCGCCAAATCCAGAGCCGTCCGATAGTTCCAATCGCGTGAAGACTCTAACAACACCTGTTCTGCTCGAAGGGCGCTGTCTTTGTATACGACATCCAATACAGTGATAGCGTAGCCAATGAATACCTGTGACTCTTCTTTCAATTGATCGCACAGTTGTTGGTCGACCACAAACCAAGACAAGTGTTCATAACAGAGGGCTATAATCAGCGCCAGATGTATTGGATGATCGGAATATCGCCACAGTATGCGCACCAATATCTTTCTGAAGTCCATAACCGCCCAAAACATCAGTAACTTCAGGGCTTTGCGTTCGGCATCTCTTTCAGTGTTCGGAAATTGTTGGGTAACAAACAGATCCAATTCTTCTTGTGATATAAACTGTCGGACACCACAGCAAACATAGACTAAATAGTTGAACTCACGGCTCATAAAGTTTTTGTTTTGTTTTTGATCAACAGTTCGGCCAAGAATTCCTTCCCAACAGACATTGCTGAAGAAGTCTTTTGTTCGAAGCGTACGAAACATTCGCAACAATGTCTTCGGTTTGACAAATGATCGTAATTTGAATTTCTGCGACAAAAACAGATCAACAAATTTCCAGCGATTACTTCGGATCAGCGACTCTTCGAACAGACTCTTCAGATAAATAGAGTTAGTACTCAACGAAAATGTCGGATCTTTGACAAGCACTTCATTTCGGGCCACTTCAGGACAGTTCCAGTCAATACATAGTCGAAGGTCTTTGTGTATTAACGCCGACGACTCTTCGGGAGTCATTTGGCGCTTCTGATGTCCGCCGCTATCAATAGTAGAGTTCGCGACCGAATATTCTTTTCTTTGCGACCGAAACAACGCTAACAACAAATATTCGGTCAAATTTTCCAAATTACACGAATACTTTTCAAACAAATTAATAATTGTCAAATAATTTTGACCATTTTGTCGACTTAAACGAATCGATTCGAGTATCCGATTCCGTAATGTCTTCAATAGTACCGAATTGTTTCGCAAATTACCAAAAGTCTTGACTATCTTTAGTGTCAATTCCGGCTTCAGATATGTTTCGACAAATTCTGGATTCCATTCATTCATACATCGATCGCGAATCTCGATGTCGCCAAAGGCCAGTAAATCAGCCAAACCTCCCGTTCCTTGTAAGACAACAACAGGTAGTTCTTCTTTGATAGTATTCAATACGATTCGCGAGCACTCGTATCCACCTTTCATTAATAACGACACAACCGGTACTTCACTTGTTTCTATTGAACACCTGTCGGCGCTCATCTGTGGACCGGGAGATCCCTCATTAGTCGGCAGAATATCTGATTGATTCAATGACAGAAACGACATAAACTTATTGATGAAACTGTTGATACCGTTTTTGTTTCGCGATTTGTCTTCAATCAGTATATAATGACTTAAATTTGACTGTAAGTTGTATTTCATATTAGTGTCTCTATTGCCACCACTGTTGGAGATAGTTATAATCGGCTGTCAATCAAATTAATAAATCAAATACAAGAGATTTGGATATAAAAATAAACAGTTAATTGAAATACCAATACCTCAGTACTTGCAGTGATAGTCTGTAAATATTGGAGACTCTCAATGTCGGCGATACCGATAAAATTGGATTTTGAAAACGACTTTTCGCTGTTAATGGCTTTCTTGTACTTGATTTCGGTGCTGTGTTCAAGTATGGCTTCACCGACAATAGTTGTCGCACCCAAGTCTAAGCCATGGGTTATTAACCACATATTGGTGTTTTCGGCGGCCTTTTGAAAAAATACAAAAAATAATAGTAAGTTTTTTTTAATTTAATTAATTAATCAAATGATTTGATGGCTTACTGTCATTAAACCCTTTTGAAAGGCTTTAATCTGTTGTCGATCTTTCCAGTTATGAATTGGTCCGGCATTTGACAGAACAACGACAACAATCTTCGGATTTTTCAATTGCCATTTTTTGTGTAATACATCGCGGACCAGTTCATCGATGTCAACACTATGCACACACCTGACCATTGGCTTACCCTAAGAAACAAACAAAATAGTCACCAAAAAAAAACAAATCATCAAATATTATGTTAATATCAATATTAGTTGAATGAGTTATACCTTTTCAGTGGATATCTCATTGTCTTTAAAGATAAGTGAAGACAACTGTAATATCTTATCTTTTTTAAGGACTTCTTCTGTTTTTGAAGACTCAACAGAAGAGATTTTATCCATTTCTGGTGTCCGTCGAGACAGGACTTGACTTTTGAATCAAAAATCTGTTTCAGACATCAAAAAGAAAGAAAGAAAGTGTTTCTAATAATACAATAAACTGATTGATAAAAGTATTGTTGAAAATCATTACTTGATTACAGTTTTTTTCTGTCAAATCAATTGTTTTGTGTTCGACACGCGATTAATGCTATATAATGTTGTGTTGTTTTAATGTAATGCACGCGCGATAACAATTGGTATCATTAGTAATCAATTACATGTATACTATTGTGATTATATAATTAGATATAATATATAGTATAGATTCTATACTATTATATAATTTGTTCAATGTTTGTGCAATATTTGTGTCACCCAAACAATAACTTTTAATGTGTCGCGCGATTATTAAGAATTTTAATTTATTAAATAAATAATAATAATTAAATAAAATATACTTTTTAAAATACACTGTATATTATATAGCGCGTGAAAGCATTGTTTAGTAAAGAGATAGATTGAGAGAGAGAGAGAGAGAGAGAGAGAGAGAGAGAGAGAGAGAGAGAGAGAGAGAGAGAGAGAGAGAGAGAGAGAGAGAGAGAGAGAGAGAGAGAGAGAGAGAGTATTGTTGCACGTGTTAACTATTGATACACATTTTATTACGTGAAATTCAAATTTGAAATAATATTTTTCTATTTAACAGAATCACTAAATTTTCAATTAAACTGTCAATTAGTTAAAATAGTTTTCAATATTACAATTGTAATAGTAATTCAACAAAAAAATCAATCAATCAATTAATTGATAGCAAAATTTGTTTTTTTTCTCTCTCTCACAAGTCTTCTGACAAAACAACAAAGTTTTGAAGAAAAAGATGAATACAATGAGTGATAAAGAAGTGATGATCAATGAAAATGAGTATTCAGAAGAAGAAGTAGATGAAGGAAAAGATGGAGAACAGACATCACAAGAAGTGCCAATTGTCAGTAAAGAAGACATCACTTCGTCGACGACGGCGATCAATGAAGAGATAATGTCGTCGTTGACGACTAATGAAGAGATTGCGTTGTCTCCGACCAGTCAATTGCCGACCAATGGGTATTCAGCCGAACAATTAAACCAAATGTATTGGTGGCCATACTATCAGCAACAGACTATCAATACCAACAACAACGGCAGTCAATTCCAGCCATCGATGTCGGAGCCGCCGCAAACCGGTAGTCTTCAAATGCCGTCGCAGCCAACCGGCAACAATCAAATACCTGAGCAGCCAAACGGCGTCTCCTCTCAAATGCCGCCATATATGATGCCCTACTATTTCATGCCACCTCCGATGACGATGAACGGCAGCGGCACAATAGGTTGGCCTCAAAACTACTGGCCAATGGCTGGTCCGAGCACTTCGGTCAGCGGCGACAATGGCGAACCATCGACATCATCGTCAGCCAAAACCAAACCATCCAAAGCAAAGGTCTATACGTGTCGATTGTGTTCGCATATGAATTACATCAAAGATGTCCAACAGTTTCGTATGCATATTGAAAAGCATTTGTCACCGAAACACCCGTTCAAGTGTGACATTTGTAACAAACTTTTTACATACAAATCCATTTGCCGCAATCATGTGATGGCTCACTGTGTGGTTCGGCCGACGGAGACGACCAGTAGTGGTGGCCAACAATAAGTTTAATGGTTACCAATTAAACAAAGAAAACCAATTGAAATTTGATTCATTTGAAACATTTATGTATTTTCTGATCAATACTTTTATATCATTAAATAAAATGCAATGTTATCTAAATATACAAATTATAACATTTTAGTATTTTTTTCTTCTCCACACAAATCATAACTTTTGTGATGAAAATCCGATAAACATTTCAACGAATTTCTTTAATTTTTCAATGTATTGTTTTCAAAGATATTCAACTGTAAGACATAAAACAATTGTCAAAAAAAACTATGATTTAATACACCAAACGACACGATCATCCAATACTTATTAAATTAATTAATATTATTATATTTATAGTCAAATATTTATAATTAACAAATTGAATATATTTTATAAAATAAAAAGTAATGATAAGTTATAATTTATAAAAATTATTTATTTAAATATCACAAATATTTATAAAAAAAATTTTGAGTTAAATATTTACAATAAAATATATTAATCACTGAATATAATTGCAATTTACTATATAATTAAAAAATCATTTGAAAACTTTGCTTTCAGTGATCCTAAACTCTTCGGGATTAATATATCCTTTTGAATGAGTGGGTGAATGTATAAGACTACCAGTGCTGACACGTTTGACTTTATGCTTATCGTTGGCGTCGTTGTCAAGTCTTGTGGTATCAAAACGTATAACATTAGGATCTTTTGCCTTAACTTTGCCTTTAATTTTGACATTAATTTTGGTCTTTAACTGTTCCTCTTTTTCATCACGTGTCGGATCTTTTTTGCTGTCAGTGCTGGACATATCGGTAATAATAGATATGTCATCTCTAACAATCTTTGGATTGAATGTCATAAAATTGAATATGTATTTAATAAAACCCAATATTATTAGCCAAAGTGTAAAAGTCACGACTAGACTGATCACAAACATTATAACAAACAATATATCGTTCAAACCGGATATCTGTACGGATTCAGTCAATTCTGAGTAATCAAAAAGTCTCAAAAGATATTGTACGCCAATTGATGAACTAATTGTTAAACCGATAACAATCAACAAATAGATATACAATATAATAGGCATCAGATTGCAAGCAATGAGTTTTTCTTTGGCTGACAGACTCACACTTGTATTATACTTTGATTTAATACAGTAATTATATATCAATGCCATAATGTCTGTTACAATCAATGGCACGAAACCGGATAACACTATAGAGACAACAATTTTAATATATTTGTCGATTCCTTTTAATTTGATCTTTAAGTCATAAATGGCAAACAATATCAAAACGTTGGCCAAAAAGATTAGATTCATTAGAAAGGCGTAAAAGACAGTCATTTCAAACCAATTAAGTTTCGGTTTAATTGAGATTCCGTGAAGTTCTTGTCCGCGAGTCTTCATTGTTGACGTCTGATTCAAGTCGCGGCCAAACGTACTGAGCGATGGATTCTCGAAATTTGGACAAAATGTCTCTTTTGTACATAACTTTAACTCTTGTGGTTTAACAATAACCGATGCAATTGTTTGAACATTAGTTCCAGATTTTATCATTTCATTAAAATTATAATAAAGTCGTCGACCGGACCACAAGTCTTCTAATTCGATGCCATTCATGAATATTTCGCCTAATAATTCAATATATAGTTTTACACATAAAAAACTAATACTTAAAACAATGAAAACTAATTGTAAATACCTTTTGAGTTGTGAACAGCTTTCAAATGAGTGATTGGAAGTAATGAAGTCTTACTATACAACTGAAGAAATCCACGTATATATCGGTGACAACAAATGTCTCGACTAATGTCGGCTTTATTTAAATTGATGTTAAATGTTAAGACAGTTGTCTCATAATGAAGTAGTTGTAGACTAATGATTGTATTTGTCAGCGAAAAACCTTTGGCTGGATTTGATAGGACGGGAACCACAAGATATTCGTAACGATTTTTTGCCGACGACTTTGAAGTGTCTACTTTTTGTTTGACCAGTCTATGACAGCAATATTGGATCAGTTTTATTATAGCTATTATTAAGATAACACTCCAAACAACTGATCCACAAATGATTTGTTTGACTTCTAAGATCATTGTTTGTCATTAAATCAGTCGTTATTAGAAAAAAACATTTGAATTAATTCAATTGAATAATATATTTTGTGAACAAATTTGTAATAAATATCTCGAGACGTAATGTGCGAGACATTCAATCTATTGGTTGAATTTAAAACATTTCTATTTTATTTATCATTTTGTTTATTAAATTTATTATAAAAACAATTGCAATCAGATTTCTATTTAAATATTTAATTTGTAATATTAATCAATATGCAGTATATATTTATAATGTAATTTATAGCTATTGTATTAATGAACACAATCATACAGTAGTTAAAGGACACATAATTAAAACACACATACAGTATACTAGTAGTGCATTAATTTGAAAAAATATAATTACCGATAATAAATAACACATTTTTTTATTATTAAAAGTTATATTCAATCATTGAATCAAATAAATAAGTTTATAAATTAAAAGATTATCATTTTGTTAAATATATAATAAAATAATTTGTTATATGAAATAAATATGAGTCAATTGTTTTCAGTAAAACTTTTGTTTGTATATTCATCTGCGATCTCATTCTTCTTGCGTTTTGGCGACGCTTTAGTATTCAACGCCATTGTCATCAATAGATCGGGAAACTCTTGAAAGACGTCCGGAACGATTACCTCTATGTCTTCGACAATTGTTTTAATGATTTTTACCGACGATTTGCCCAACACTTTAGTTTCATAGTCTAAGAGTTGTCGAAAAAATCCGATGTTTGGCTGCGATAGCGATCGCTTTGACCGCACGTGTATGAATGCATCGCGAAGTGTCCTCTTTTTGTATTTAATCAAATAGGCTGTCAAACAAACAAACAAATAAACAAAAAATAACAATTTGATTAATGAAATGAAAATCAAATTAATATTGAAAGTCAATACATACCAATTACCAATGTTGATGACCGACTGATACCGGCCACACAATGCACAATAGTTCGACCATTTTGGGCGGCAATTTCGTTGATTTTATCGGCCACTTCGTCAAAATATGGATATATATTATCATTGCTGGTGTCGTCCACCTAAACCCGGGGTCAACAAATAGATCAACAACAAAAAAACACAACTTTATTATAATATTTTAATATATAATATACTGACCGGTACTCTAAAGGTTTGAAGTTCGGGTAGCAAATAGTTGGGCGCTTCATAGGTTGCATTGATTATACACGTAATATAGAGGCTCTCAATGTTTTCTTTGATGAGACCACCCATTCCTGTCAAATATAGATTGTCAGTAATCTTATCGACATTACTGTACGGTTCAGTCAGTATTGCCCGTACGTCGGGCGACACATCAGGATTATCTCTGACCGCTAATAATTCTGAACGAGTGGTCAGTCGTTTAACAAATTGTTTGTTTATTATTTGTTTGTTAAGATTTTCGGTCATTTGTGATGCCATATATAGATTGGGATAACGTTTTCGTTCAGAATTACAGCAACTGCTTCCACAACAACCCATAATCGCAAACAAACAAATAGTTAATCAATTTATACAATAAAATATATTATAAATTCAAAGTGATATCAAATAGCTAATCAATGATAAACTCTTTTTAAAATTATTAAAACCGATATTGAATTTCAACTTTTCAAAAATTGTGTTCACACAAGATTTTATTTATTTTTATTGTTGCACTAATACTGTATAATAATATTGAAAATTAGCATTAAAAACATTTTATTGATATAATATTTGATATAATATACTCTATAAGTAAATTATGTGATTTTAAAATTTGATTTTCAATTAATAATTTAATTATCTGTTTCACTGTTGAGCCACTTATGTTGCAAAACGTCGTTAATTTTGATGCGATTACTTGAATTTGGATGTAATAGTTGTGACAAAATGTCGAGACATTGATCCGTATAAGTATTTCTTGTCTGATCTAATATTTCATATCTTTTAAGAATCATATTTTGATGGATAAACTTATAAGTGTCTAAATTTGGGTTTACTTTTTGATATGTATGACAATCTTTGGGCAGAAACGGTATTTTTGCGCAAATCATGAAATATAGACAAACCCCGAGTGACCAACAATCGGCTTCAAATGGATCGTATTTCTTAAGTAAATCTATTTTCTGTCCTATTTTGATGTAAACATAAATCCTGAATATTTGTGGCGACATATAATCAACAGTTCCGTAACATTTGTACTCTTTGACCACATCTTCTTTATAGCTGACACGACTCGTCCCAAAATCGGCAATTTTGACCACTTCTTTATTGTTGTTATCAATAAATACTAATAGATTAACTAATTTAAGATCTTTATGTGTTATATTTTTATTGTGCAAATACTGTAAACCAAAGGCTGTATCTCTAAAATATGATTTTGCTTTGGTTTCGGACAATGGTTTATACGATGACGACATTGACTTCTTGTCTTCAGGATTTTCATCTATCATCTGCTGAAGAACTGATCCCCGTTCAGCCAATTCCATAACAATATAACAGAAAAACTTTTTATGCATTTCATGAATAATAAAATGATCCAATACTTGGACAATATTTCTATGTTTTTCTCGGACTAATAAAATCAATTCCTGTTTAAAACTTTCCCAATTTCTTCGTCTCATTTTATTGTTTTGTATAACATTGTCATTAAATGGTAATATCTTTATGGCTACAGTTTTATCTGGTTTTTTAATATTAACCGCTTCTTTGATAACAGCATAACCTCCGGATCCGATCTCTTTCTTAATTTCCCAACCTCTGCATCTGACGCCTTCGTCTTGCGATTTGAAATCTCGAGGAATATAATATTCTTGAGTCAACTCTTTGTTATTAATTTGACTAAAAGATAGTATTTCACCACTTTTTGTAACCCAACCGACTTTAGTCTTATCCGATGATTCTGTTTGTCTCATCATTTGTTGAATATTTTGTTTATTTATGACTTTTTTCTTCTTTTTCTTTGCAGATGATACACAACATTGACATAACAAAGCCGATAGTAATTTATAACACATTTTTATTTATTATTCAAATTGATATATATATATACTGTATATATATATCGTTAGTTATTAATAATAACTTATTATATCAGTTTCTAAACAATTTTAACTTTTACTAAATGTGTATAAACTTTATATGTTATTATGTATTATGATAGTGAATATTTAGAAAAAATAAATAAATTTGAATATTAAATATTATTGTAAAATCATGCCAACAATTATAAGTACTGTCTAAATATTATAAAACATTAAATAAAAACTATATATCAATTATTAACTTACTAAAACATGAAAATTAATTTTATAATAACTAATTACAAGTATCGAAATTAATACATAAATTTAGAGATCTATTCAAATATCAATTTCAAGTTTTAGCTCTTCAAGTCCAGTAAAATAATAAATAATTTTTATGTCTCACTCTTGCGTTAAATATATCTACAAAAACATGCGTCCAATCAATAAACAAAATAGTGAACCTTTTAAACTATAATCAACCAAAAAAAAACTTAATGAAAACTAATTAATTTGTTATACAATTAAGACGCGCTCTGTCTTAAGCAATTGAAACATACGTTTTTATTTGAATCGTACGGTGCGGACAAACTATTATTGCGGTACAACATCTGATTACAGTATCTAATGTATGAATGTTTGAATATTTATTACATAAAGTTTCACTAAAACATCTCAATTCTATCAAAAGTTATTCAAGAAAAACCTGTCGCTCTTAAACAATTGAAACGTTTATAATATACTGTTTTATAATAAATTATTATTAAAACAGGGAACTAACTAGTATTATCAAAAATAAATTTATTATTTAGTATTTTAATTAATACATAATAACACCAATAAAATCTATGTATTGTATAGTATTTTACACAATCTAATTGACATTAAACATGTATTTTTCACTTAATAAAAAAAATAAATCTATGTCTTCAAGTAATTGGATTAATAAACAGAGTGTTCACACGATTTGACAACTCATTGACTACTATTTGAATCGACATTTTGGTTGTCGTCATCACTGTTATCATTGATATCTTGATTGTTGTCTGTGCTATCAATTTGTGTCATCCGATCATTTGGTTGTCTAATTTGATGTTTCCCTTGAGATCTCACTATTTGTTGGTCAGTCCTACCGTCTAAACGTTGAGTCGATCGTTGGTGTCGTCCACTGCTACGCGATCTCCGTCGACGTCTAGATCTTCTACGGCTTCTTCGTCTCCGTCGACGACTACGTCTTCTCGGAGTCAAACATCTGGCAGGCATTTGAGGCATACTTACGTGTGGACCCAATGGCGGTAAAGTCATTGTATCGTATTGTCCATTGGCTCTGAAGTTATGTCGGATGTGCTGATACGGTGATTGACATACGGAACACATGCGATGTTGATCCGACCACTGAGTCAAACACGCCAAACAAAACTGATGGTCACACGCGTCCGTACGGCTCCTATTGTTTATGATTTGATTACATATCAGACACAAGTTGTAGTCAACATTTTCGTCGACCTCTTCACGTCTAATCTCATTATAATTATTTACTGTTTGTTGTTCACTGTTGTTGTTGTTGTTGTCTTCAGATGAAGCCGAAGGTCCGAGACTTTCTACTGAAGTAACTGATTGTTCGGTCAGCGATTGTTCTTCACTAACGTTAGGTCTAATCCGGTTGACGGGTCTGTCTTTAGACATACCAACACTTGAATAACTAAATGATAGTTTCAGTTATACAATACACTAAACCTTAAAAATAACTAAAAAATTATTTTTACTTAAAAATCAGTTTAAATTTGTTTTCATTGTTATTACGCGATTTCAATTGAAAATTTCAATTTTATTTCAAAATTCAAACCAATTTAGATACAGACAGACAGTCATCACAAGCACTTTTCAGACTCCAATAGAAACAAACAGTTGAAACTATTGAACAGTTATTTGTGATATATTTGTGTCCAATATCTCCAAGTGTTTAGTTTTTTTTGTTTGTTAATAACAATACGATGGCCGACGACGAGGACAGTCCCGAAGGTAAAAAAATTGGCGAAAAGTTTATTGTATTGAAATACATCGCCAAAGGATCGTTCGGTCGCTTACATGTCGGCAAAAACATCCAAACGGGCGAAAAGGTTGCCATCAAGTTTGAGAAGACATCGGTAGAAAAGCCACAACTAGTTCTCGAGTTTCCATTCTTCAAGAAATTAAAGGCCGATAGGTCTCCGCAAAAAGGTATTCCTCGACTCTATTACTTTGGTCCGTGCGGTGACAACTGGAGCGCACTGGTTATGGATCTGTTGGGTCCGAGTCTGGAGGATGTGAAGGAAACAGTCGGCGGTAAGTATAGCCTAAGAACAACGTTACTATTGGCCATACAGTTGATCGATATATTCGAGTACTTTCACGGCGTTGGACTCATCTATAGGGACACCAAACCCGAGAATTTCTTGTACGGCCCGTCGGGAAGTGACAAATACAATGTCGTCCATATTATCGACTTTGGTCTCTGCAAACAATACATTGATGATAACGGAAAGCACATCCCTTTTCGTGACAGAAAAGGTATTATAGGAACAGCTCGTTATATGAGTATTAATAACCACAAGGGATACGAACAAAGCCGAAGGGACGACATGGAAGCAATCGGCTATATGTTAGTCTACTTCTTGAAGGGAGAGCTTCCGTGGATGGGCATCAAAATTAAGGAAATAAAGGAACGATACAATCAAATCTTAAAAGTCAAACAGCGAACCACCACTGAATCCCTGTGCGCTGACATTCCCGTAGAGTTTTGCAACTATTTAAAGGACATTAAGTCTCTTGAGTTTGCAGACGAACCCAAATATAGGGAATACAGCGCTTGGTTTAAGCGATTGTTAAGAAAGAAGTCAAACAACAAAAGCAAAGATGGAGAAGACATCTATGATTTCAACCGAACTCATCAAAAGCGCTGACCATTTGATCATCACTTCCCAGTCATTCATCAATCAATACATCAAACATATTGTAGTTATACTGTATAGTATTGACCAATCATTTATATCACTGAAACAAATCAGTTAAATAGATATGTCTTTTGTTGTCAATTCAATTCAATTTATTTTGTTTTAAGAAAAATGTCATCAATTGTTTCAAATAAATTTTGTATTTTAAATTAAATAATATTTAATAGATTTTTTTGTATACATCTGATAAATACTTATTTATGTTTTTGTTTTACATAACGTTGATATCACTGATAATATATCTGTTAGTAATCATATACAGTAGTTTACATAACAGGCCACCAACCGGTTGGCTGCTGTACAACACGGATGGCTTTGGGCTCGGGTTGAGATCGGCGCCTGAAACCCAAATAAGCCAATACCATACACACCAATATAGTTAATCGCATGTTTAGATAGATTGCGATGACAGCAAAGATGATAGCCCGGAGCAGTACATACCGTACAATGAATTTATGTATCAATTGACACAATATCTCAATCGCTTGTCTCTCGTATATTATCTCAACATTACTATACCGCTGACGACAGTGCATACAGTGTTCCTCGTGATAGTTAAGTACCAGTCGTTGCAGACATTGATGACAAATAGCACCCATAGATCCTTTGCAGTCGCATACGATATCTACATATAGTGGTGTATTCTGTCTGTCCAATTGATCCCGAGTGCCGTAACAAACTCGACATTTGTCTTCATTGTCTAAGTTGGTCATTGAGAGTACTTATATCTCTGATTCAATACCTAACAGATTATATACCTAATAGTATTTTACTTTTTTTTACTAATAATGACAATTTTTTTCAATATTTTATATTAAAAATATACTATTAATATATTGTTGTTTTTTAATATAATTTGCTATTAATTTATTATTCATATACAGTATCTCAATAAAAGTTTCTTTATCGATAATTATTAATTTTCATTTTATTTAATCCAATAAACTTTATTTATATGTAAATTAAAACAAAGTTATTTTTAAAAAATATCGATAAAAATATTCATTAAATTTCAAAATATTAATTATCTGGATATTTAAGTCCCGTATCGTTGAGGACAGTGACCACCCAGGCGTCTTTTGGCAATTTGCCCGACTCTAGCAATTTGACAGCAGCGGCAACATTAGCGCCGGATGTATAGCCCAAATAAAGGCCTTCTCGCTGTGCCAAAAGTTTCTTGTATTCAACTGCTTCCTCATCAGTAACACCGATAGTAGTGTCCAGAGTGTCAAACTTGAATAATCGGGGAACCTTACCATATCCCGATCCTTGCAGTAAATGTAACGGTTTGGTAACTGCATCTCCTTTAATAACTTCAGCACCGGCCGGCTCGACAGCCACACATAGAATGTCTTTATTTTGTTGTTTCAGATATCGTGAAACACCGGCAAAAGTTCCCGCTGTTCCTACAGTAGCCAAAAATGCGTCGATGTGTCCACCAGTTTGTCGCCATATCTCTGGTCCGGTTGTCTCTTCATGTGCCTTACAATTGTTGTCATTGTTGAACTGATCGACATAGTAGGCACCGGTTTCTTCAACAATTTTCAGTCCCAAATTTTCGGCCTCAGTAACATCGGCCAGTGTTACATTACCGGGAGTGCCCTCAACCTGTGGCGCCAACACAACATTAGCTCCCATTGCGCGCATCATTGTTGCTCTTTGGGGACTATTGCCGGCCGACATTGTCAGTGTAATGGGATGACCTAAAACGGCAGCTACCAGTGCCAGACCGCAACCCTGATTACCGCTGGTCACCTCAACAATCGGATGTCCGGGTTTTAGTTTTCCCGATTTGAGCGCTTTCTGTACCATCGATAGTGACGACCTATCCTTAACACTGGCTCCTGGATTAAAAAACTCGCATTTGGCGAGTATACGTCCCGGTCCCGACCATATCCTGTCCAGTGCTACGAGTGGTGTATTGCCAATCAAATCCAATGCCGATTCCTTGATATCTGTCTGTCCGTATGTTTTGGCCATTTTTTGATCACTAATTTACTCAAATCTCACAAATTATTTTAAAACTTTAACAAACAAATTACTACAAATAATTAATTAATTTTATAGGATTTTTTAAAGACTGCTGTCTATATAATTATACAGTATATAGATATTAAATATTTATATAAATTTAATAAATTATCAATAGTTTAAATATACAATCTGTTACTAACCCAAGTACAGTATACAGTCAATTATGTATAGTATGCACTCTCAATGACATTTAATAAAATGCAATGTTATTTCAATTTAGACTTTATTTAGACATAAGTTTTAATGATTTACTGTATAGTAGATACTAATATAAATACATAGAAAACAGTGTCTATTAAAACAACAAATTGATTATAACCTAAATAATCATTAATCAGTTGATTAGGATGTTATTAGTACTTAACTGATGTTAATATTATATGTAATTTATATTGTGTCAATTATTAAAGATTAACATAATATTATATAAATACATTATATATTTTTTGGATATAATAATATTAATAATGTATAATTACTGTATAAATATTGCAAATTAACATGTAGTAAATACAGTATAAATGTATCAATTATCCTATAGTTTATGTAATACTCTATATACTGTATTTAGATTACCTTGATACAGTTACTAACCAAATAATAAACTATTTAAGATAAAATATCTGTATAATCAATAATCGTTAAACATTAGTTAGATTATATTACATTATTTAACAATCTCTCATTTACTTATGTTAGATAATTAGTATTTATATATTTTAAAAATTATAATATAAATAAATTACAAATAAAATTAATTAAAAAAATATGAGATAACTATTTTACATACAACTTATCTACTTATTACTAATAATGATTAATATATTAATAAATTGATTTACTTACATTAAATGTAGTATATATGTATTTTTATAAAATAAGGTTCACAAATTTAATGTTGATAACTATATTAAATACTAATTTTTAGATATTAATTTAGAAAATTAATTTTCAAAATGACAATGATTTAAAATTTTGTTTAAATAAAAGTAATATTTAGATTATCATAAACAGCAGTTACAACAAAAACAAATAATCAAATAATAAATTGTTGAAACACTATTTGAAATATATATATATATATATATAATAAACAATTGAATTAGCACTTAGACTGTCTATCTGTACTTATAATCAATTAGGAGATACTATTTAGTAAGTGATAATCAAATAGAAAAATCTTAAGGATTGGAAAAAATCATTACACTGTAGATGTAATGCAAATATTGTTAAACTATTTATACGAATAGATATGTCCTTAAAATACATTCACAATGTATTCACTAAGAGTTTGAGTGACTTTTTTTGAGTTATAATTATTCTAAAAATTAGTTTACTATTGAGTTAAAAATAGTTTTTTTTAAAACCAAAATTTTAACTAAACTAAACACTTAACTAATATATCATTTCAAATGATTCAAAATTTGTGTATTTAGCATTAAGCCATTAGTAAAACTTTTAAACACATAATTTTTGAAATTATAATCTCTTTATTATAAAAACAAAAAAATGTACTAAATATTTAGATAATAATAGCACTTATAAACAGGTTCATAATGTAAAATATATATTTAATTAGTTATAATTATTAGTTTGTATTTTTTATTAATTCAATATTCAATAAATAATTAATACAATTACATTCAATACAAACAAAAAAATATTTTTTATGTTTTATCGTTTATATATAAATTGTATAATGACTTTAATTTCAATATAACTGTATAGATAAAATTAGATAAATAAATTTATAACTAGTATTAATATACTAGAATTTTAATATTTTAATTACTATACCACCAGTTATGACATTTATAACTACAGTTAAATAAATGAAAATTTATCAAAAATCTATTTATACTATTTTGTAAACAACAGCAAAACTTTCTCTATAAAAAAATATATAATTAAAAACTTATTTATTTATTTGATTGATTCTATGCCCTTAATAGTTGCCGCTAGTGATGTTCAACATAATATAATATTAATTAGCTTATTTTAATATTGATTTAAAAAATATATATATATATATTAAGCTAAAAATTTTTTAATTGATAATTAATCAATAAGCATAGTAAGATATTTTATCATGTAATGTAATTAATTTAGTGTAATTGTTTAATTACTGGTAATATATATATATTTAACTGATATATGACACTGATATTGTGATGTTTTTTTTTATTGATTTACAATTTAGGTTTACATTTATCTGTCGTAAATATATAATAAAAGTCTATTAGTTAATTGAAATGCATTTGTTTTGGCAAAAATCAATTTTCAATTTGTTTACCCATTTTATTGACCATTGAATTTATTTGTCTTTTAAGCAATACTCTGTTTCCCCTTTATTTTTACATCATTTAACAAAACCGACATCTAATTTGTCTTTTATGTTATTTAATTATTTATTTTGATGTTTCATTTGATTTTTATTTGAAACGCATTGATGTTTTTGGTTTATTTTTATTTGATTAGTATTTAGTCCTATATATAGTATATTGAATATATTTATAACTAGTTTGTCAATTAGATAAATAAATTCATACATAATTAATATAACCGTGTATTCGACTGTAACTGATTTTTTCGTGGGTCTAATAAAATGAAATTTTAAATAAATTATTTATTTCATTTTACATTAATTTTTTAAAATCTAATTCTTAATAAATAGATTCTGGTTTATATTGAATTTAAGTTTTAGATTTTAAAAAATAAATCAACATTATTTTGAAAATATAACAAAAAGTTTTTTTTTGAAATAGTTTAATTTCAAAATTTATATTGAAATGATAGTCAACTTAAAGTTTAAATAAATATCGATTACATAATATCGCATAAAAATTGTTTCAAAAACATATTCTATACAATAACTTATAGTCGAGTAGTACTTTTAAAATGACAATTATTATTATTATGCATATATTATGATAAATGTTATACATATTTATTAATAATAATAGTAATATATTTTTTCTTTAGAAAATATCGATAAAATATTGTATAAATTATTATCAATATATTTTTGATGATAAAGACATTTATTTTATTTAACAATAACAAAATTTTTGTAGTACATTGTATTACAATAGTAACGATAATATATTAGATATTTAGTAAAATAATGTACAAATGAAAAAAAACAATATTCATTCATTGATTAATCATTGATTTTTTTTATATTTTATTGTTTTTTATTTCTTACATTTTGTTACAAATATTGATAAATAGTGAAAAAAAATGTTATGTATATCTTATTTTGCTGTTTATTGGATGAAAACTTATAGTAAAGATTAGAAAATAGAAACAAAATTGTCATTTGTTTTACGTTTATCGTAAGTATACAATAAATATTAAGATAAATATAAGAAAAAATTACACAAAAAAAAAGTTTTTTTAAAGATAAATAAAATGACATCAAAAGTCAATATATAACTCTAAGATATACTCTAGACATCAATTGTGAAAATAACTGATTTTCTTTAGTTTTAAAAAAAGGTAAACAAAAAAAAACATATTTATTTTTATTATTGAAACGTTTAGATTAATAATTTAAAATAATCTTAAAATGTAATCGTTATGCAATACTATTAATATTGATATAAGGTTAAAATATCAAAATTTTTAATGCTTTATAACTTATTTTTTTATGTATTCTTTATTAATTATAATTATAGATAAATATCAATATTATTATTTATATAAATAAAATTTATTATTAGTTTTAATTGGTTTTGTTCAAATTTTTTTAATAAGAAACAAAAATTAATAAATATAATTTTTGACTTCAAATAATAATAATATTATTATTATAATATTTTCTCTGTTTGCTCAGTTAAGTACATTATTTGTTAACCATTTTACTGATGAATTACTACAATATACTGTAGGTCTAAAATTTATAAATAAAACAAAATAATATTATTATAACTTAAATAGAAATCACATAATTTTAAATTTAAAAAAATTAAATATATAAAAACTTTATATTATTAATACTGTATATTATTATTATAATAAAAGATAATATATTTTTTAAAAGCATTTCAATGTAAATCATAATTAATAGCAATTTAAATAAAATAAAACATTTTTGAACTTGAATTGTAAGAGAAATAATATCAAATAATTTGATTTTAAATGTCATTATGATTTGAATATGATTTTAGTTTATTTTAAAGTTTTGAGCATTAAATTCAATCTATAATATAAACATTTCTTAGTTGAAAAATATTATAAATAAATAAATTTGAAAAATAAATGTCAATTAATTTATGTATAATTTTTCTCAGAGATTCTAAACTCACGACAAATTATTTAATGATGTGTTTTGTATTCACAAAATTTACATTTAAATTATATATATAATATATAGAGTGTATATTTACAATCAAATATTAATTTCAAACAAGAAAATCTTAGAAAAATTCAAATTATTGTAGTATTAGTACTATTAATATATATGCTAATGTTTATCTGAAAATTGTATTTAAGATAAGTTTATTAATCACATAATAATAAAAAGTTAATCAAATAAATATATACAGTATGATATATAAATTATTATCTATATATATATCAGTATTATATATATATATATATAAATTGATTTTATAGAATATTATGTATATATAAAGTATTAGTAATTTGAAATTATTAAAAAATATATAAAATAAATTATATATTATAGTTGTACACTATATTTGAATAAGAATTTTGCTTTCAAATTACTTGAGAAATTTGAAATATTAAGACTATTTTTAATTTTTTAATTAAATAAATAAATATAATATATATTAATATATTATTGTCGTATAGAAAATCTGAAAAATAATAATTAAAAATTGTTTGGAACAGAATTTCTATAAGTTTTTATTAAATTTATTATTAGTCAGAATATTCTCATTAATATTTGTTTAAGAATTTCTAGAGTAATAAGTAAAATGCATTGAAATATACTAATAATGTCAACGTCTATGAGATTTATTGCTGTCATAATAGATGTCTAAAAATAGTCGATAATATTATTACACTATTAACTAATGATCTCTTTCTTTCTCTCTTTCTTTCTCACTCAGAATCACCTCATTATTACATATATTTATTACAATCGTCATTATAATTGCAATAAAAGTTTTACCGACTAAATATGATAAATGAGATTATCATTTGACAACTAGAAATAATATTATATAATCTATGTATAAATTTTATCCTAAGTTAAGATCATTATCACCTTAATGTGAATCAAATTAGTAACATGGTAAATTTTATATATATATATATATATTTATGATAATAAATTGACTGAAATTTTCCCCAATATTAAATAATTTTGTGATAAATATATTTTTGTTTATTTGATTTATAATCTGATGATTTGTTGGCATCAGTTTATTAGACATTATTTTTATTGCAATCACTATTAACGGTAAATTAATATAAGATTAATTTATAAGTTTCGTACATTAAAATTTAATCACTAATTTTAAATATCTATTATTATATCTATTAATTGTATATTTAACACACAAAAAACTGCATTTATTTTACGTTTTATATTAACTCAATATAACAAATACAGTATTTGAGGTTTATTTAACCGATATTATGTCTAATTATAGAAAACATATACTTATTTGTTGTTGAATAAAATAGTCATTTGTAGGCTAATATGTTCATAAATTTTGTATATTTTTAAAATATATTTGTTTAAGCAAAAAAAATTGCAATTTAATTTTAGTATCTCTTTTTTTAAAACAAAATTTTAAGAAACATTTTATAAATTTACTTTTTTTATCTATTGATAAAAAAATCTTATGAAATCATATGTGTTACTATTACTGTTACTGGTAATATATGTTTATTATAT